GTCTTTAAATCTTTTTTTTTTAAATTATTTCGGCGAAACATTGGTTTGTTTTCTTGTTGTTTTTTTTTTGTTGTTGTTGTTGTTTTAAAAAAAAAAAAACTAAGACACCTCGGTGACACAAACCTTACGAAACAAATGAAGTGATTAAAGACAATTTTTACAACGTACTGGGCTTGTTTCTTAAACCATCTGCAACGCAACACAAATGGCAAGCGTTATTAGAGGTAAGAAACCAAATTTGGCATTAGTCATAAAAAAAAAGAAGAGTGTTTTTAAGTGAATAAAAACTTGTATTGTTTCAGAGGGCCAATTACTGAGAACAAATTTTAAGTGTTGTTTATTTTTTTAACAAATACTGAATAATTTTTTTTTTATTTGTGTATCATGCTTCAGAAATTAATCAAATTTTGTACATTTTATTTTCAGCTCTAATGTCTGCGCTGATGGTCTTCGGTAAGCAAGCTAACTTAGTAAATTATCTGCCTTTTTTTAAAATAAGTGCAACGTGTTGGTGTTCGTTGTGAGATGTTAAGTATGTAGAGTTTAGTTAATTCGAGGTGTATTTGGCATAAACGACGGAGGCGAAGATCACGTTTTATCTTGAATTAGACCTGGTAAACACAATCTCAATGTGTTAAGTAAAATGTAAAGATGAAAATGAAACAAACATTGATATAAAACTTGGAAGCAGGCAGATTAAAGAAAGTTAAATTTTCTGAAAACCCTTTCTATTCACGTCAATTTTGTATGTTTGTGGCGAAAATTTTGGACGGCTAATTAAACCCACTTCCCATCAATCTATCGAGCTGATACTTGGAACATAGACGCGTTGTCGAGGACAACACATTTGCTCAAATTTTCAGCATCACGCCCCAAAACCCAAGCCCCAAAAATCAGTTTTTGGTGTTTTTCAAAGGGAAATATATTTTTAAAATATCGCAAGTGTGTTTGGTTCGTAAATTTTTTCTTTTGTTGTTCTGAAATAGTTGGTGGACTAAATATGCATTGTAAAGGCGGATGGTACATTAGAATATTAATATAAAATAATAAAATATGCCTATAAAGGATTTGTTCGAAGACCTTTATTTCAAGAGGGGGTTTAAGTTTACAATATAAAATTGTGGGGGTTTTTTCCTATTGTATTTCATTTTGACGTTGAAGCTTCATGTACCAAAATTGTGCACTTCTGTTGTCTTTCATTGATTTGAAACGTAATTATAAAAACTTTAAATTTTCTTGTTGTCTCTTTCATAAACAGGAGTGTTATCTGCTGGAAATGAAGGTATGCAATAATGTATAGTTGCCACAGCATTTAATTCCCCGCATGCGTCGTCATTTCCTTGAAAGCAGATGGGTAATATTCGACGTCATTTTAAGTTTTAGGGTACCAGGCTACACATGTTTGTGAAGATATTTTCTTAGATGTACTCTGAAATAACTCCCCCCCCCCTGCCTTCCTAGTGATTTAAGTTGCACTCCGGTCTCCGGAAGAAGAAAGAAACAGCAGCTGATTCCTTTTAAATCCTGTCTTCACAGATGCCACTCTCACATCTTTCAAAACATCTGTCAACGTAACGGTCACGTCTTGTACTCCTCTATCGTCTGATGCGGCGGCTGCTGCTGATGGTGGTGGTGGTGTTTGTGTCAGTGAGCGAACACCTCTCATGAACGCGACCAGCCTTGCCTCGGCATGCCCGTAAGTACCAGTTTGAAGGCTGAAGCAATACTAGGCTTATAGAATTCTTTTACGGGGCTATTTTTTTAATTATTTTTTACACAACCGGGTGTATGTGGATGTTTGTGATAAACACGATGCGCATTTACACGGGGAGTTCCCATGCATCATGTTTGAGGAGAAACGGTTTCTGTTATTTAAAAAAGGACAGAAGAGTTGTCCAGAAACGCATAAACCAAACGGTCCGAATTACGTCTAAACATAATTATGTCTCACGATATAATTTAAATTCACAGGTTTCTCGCGGAGTATACCAGTTGTATGACCCGTAGATGCAAAAGTAATGCCAATCTGGAGTCAGCGCTGGAACAACTAAAGAACACATGTGGTAACGATTAGATTAATCAAATCAGTATGCTCAATAGAATCTAAGTGTATGCCAAAAATTATCAGAGTCAAAACCCTGGCCTCAATGGATTCTCAAGTAGCTAGTAAATATTATATTATTAAAGTACTAACCCTCTCCTAACCCACACACTGACAAATCTTTATAACCATTGTACTTCAACTAAATCTTCAATGAATGGGAACGATTGACACACGATTCCTCCTCGGGGATCCAGTCGACAAGTCTGTGGTGGCTTGCTGGTTAGGAATGCGCTGGCCACCGGACACCCCCCCCCCTTGGCGTTAACCCAGGGGAACAAAACCACTATCGCGCGTCCTGCGTGGGCAGACAAGGGACATGCATGGTACCTGCCGGAAATAAGAACAGGGCCTACAGGGCTGCCAACTGGGACGCTTCACAGTTGAAAGTAAAGGCAGAGAAAGTGTAGGGATCCTGATTACAAGTTGCCGTTAAGGGATGTGAGGCTATAGGCCAAGGTGGAAATCTCTAGCCAATGATTCTTTACACGCAGCCCTGAGAAAGTTTCTTCTTGGGCAACAAATACTCCGCAAGCTAGTTGCGTGGTGGAAACCCAATGTAGGAAACACTATTATTGGGCGTCCGACGCTTCCCCTAGATGGCTTGGGGAATATATTAGGACGTTAATTTACAATCCCGACTCCCCGAGAGAGTCGGTTGCGAACGCTTTAAACGCAGCGTTTCGGTCGAACGGACGTCCCCGGGCTGGGGAAGCCTACAACCGCAAATCCGATCGAGCGGTTGCGTGTGAGGGCGGTCAAGGTCCGGGGAAGTCCCTGGCGTGCCGCCGCATGGCCCAGCGTCAGGGAGACCCGGCGTCTGGGCTGTGTGGAGGTGCGTCAGGGAGGGCATTAAGAGCTCATGCTCGACGGCCCGCCGACGCCATTTCCCAATGTAACATACACGATTTATAAAATGATAACACTTTGTCGTCAGGACAAGAGAAAATGAAAAAAAATTTAATAAACAGGAATTATTTTAAAGTAATATCGTTCCTAAATGAAACTATTGCTATAACTAGAAGCCATGGCCCGGTGTTACACGGATTTTAAAAAAATATGGCACTTTGCGCTTTTGTCAACATCTAAATGTCCATTTTTACGCACATAAGAGAATCGGCTATGAACGTACCGTAAAGTATCTTGTAATATAGTAAGACATTAATCCACGTCGTTTAAATATATGTTTAAAAAATAATAAATCAGACTTTCATTTAAAACAGTTTTCAATGTATATTTATATACGTTTCTAACAGCCTTGGCTTTGAGAAGGTTTAATATCTAGAGACAGAGGCCAAATCAGTTGTTCCTGTTTTTCAAAGGGAAGATGCCGGAAATATCGTGTCCTTTTCGGGGGTGTCCCAATTTTTATAAAGACTAAAGTACCATACTTAAAAACCAAAGAAGACATAGAGAATATCAAATCTCATGTGATATATGACCTTATCTCTGATTCAAATAATTTACTTTAAATATTTATTCAATTGATAATTTTTGATTTATTTATGATCTATAATAATAATATTTACGTAAGGAAGATCCCAGACACTTACATATGCACAAATTTATTGTATTCGATTTCTAAATGATTCGATTTCACACCAAAAGATTTTTTAAGCATTCCGATATGAATTTTATGCTACGCGGTTATTGAACACAAATCTACACGCCATTAGTGTTAGGAGCGGTGTCATAAGTTCATAAGTCATCGTATCGGTAGTTGTACTGCGTGCCCTATTAAACTCAGCACTGCGTGGTCTCATTTACTTTCTCTTCTATAACAACTTCCCTCTCAACGTTATCTCCTTTCAAACTTGCAGGTGGGATGAGTTCAGTTGAAACAACACAGAAACCTGCAACGACGACAAGTATGTAGTTGTTTCCGTTTTTGTGTGCATTGAATTGAATGGAATATTTCTATAGCGCTTGTACCCATGCCACTTTAGGACGCTCACAGCGCTCTGGTGTTCTTAAATCTATTTAAATTAAAAAAGGTATTTCAATGTTTTTTAAATGAATTTTTTATTTTATCATTTTCAATTTCCCCCAAAGATTGGGGCAAGCTGTTCCATAATTTTGGAGCTGTCGCTTCAAAAGAGCGCATTCCGAATGAATTTTTTCTGTGTGTATCCACACTGTGACTATATCATAGCTTGCTTGATTTTTTTTTTTTCATTTTGTCAACAAACAAGAGTAATTCAATGTCTTTTTTTTATCTTGCTGTAATTTATTTTCATCTTCTAACTAAGGTTCAATTGGGATCACACTAATCTAGGGATCCCAACGGGATCAGGAACCCACCGGGAAAAGGGGATCACACTGGGATTATGATACACCCGGGATCGGAATCACACCGGGAAACCCGATCCTGACGGCATCGAAACCCACAAGGATCGGTATCCCACAAGGGATCGCGATCGTGATGCAACCGGGAATAGGATCCCACCTTGGTCGTGATCCCACTGGGCTCGGGATACCAAAGAGGTCGGGAACCCACTGGGATCGAAAACCTGATGTACATTAATATTTGAAGTCATTGTTCATAGTGTGGATGGACACTGATAGAAATCCTTCGGAGTGCGCTCTTTTGAAGCAATACTTACTTACTTTTGCCTTTCTACCCCGCCTGGGGCATAGGCCTTGTACAAGAAATTTCCACTCATCACGGTTCTGCTCTTTTCTTTCCAATTGCTTCCAGGTGTATCCCATATTTTGCGTGTCTGCCTCTAGCAAACGTCTCCATGTATTTTTAGGACTTCCTCTCTTTCTCTCCCACTGTTGGTTCCATGTTAGGCATTGTCTGGTGGTGCTATCGGGGGTTTTGAAGCGATAGAGGCTAAGTTATGAATACCCTCATGTGCTTTCTCTTAAATAAAAACTCATCTCCTTTCAAACTTGCAGGTGGGATGAGTTCAGTTAAAGCAACAGAAAAACCCACTACAACGACGAAAAGTATGTAGTTGTTCCGTTTTGTGTGAATTGAATTGAATACTTACATCCATGCTACTTTAGCATGCGTCTCCATGTATTTTTTAGGTCTTCATCTCTTTTTTTTCCTCTGTGGGTTCCATGCTAGGCATTGTCTGGAGGGTGCAATCGGGGGTGGGGGGGGGTCGAAGCAATAGCGGCTAAGTTATGGAAGTCTTTGGGGAATTTTGAAAATTAAAAAAATAAATCATTTAAGAGACATTTAAAGACATTTTTCTTTCATATAGAGTTGATGAAATCATGGCTTTGGGCATGGTAGAACAGCATGGACACAAGCGCTATATAAGTAATTAATCATCGTGGTTAAAACAAAGACATTTGTAATTTAGGTCATTCTATATATTAATAATTATTTAGTCACAAACACAGATTTATATTTCTAAAACGGCTGTGGTCGTAGCAAAGACCCCCACCCCCTCAAGCACAAAACGAAGATCAAGTCAAGTGTGTGATCCAGAAGCTCGAGAGCCGTGCGGCCTGCGGAGGCCTACACCGGGATACTGTAATCACTGGTACCTCTTTGTAGACTTTGCCGAAGGATGCTCCCCAGTTACTTCATACGATTTTCTTCCCCAGACTCAGTTTAGACGTGACTTCGGTGCACTTTTGCAGCGTAGGATTACATCAGGTTTAGATCCTCTTGCATCCACGTCTGCTATTTCTGCGTATTATTCCCCGAGCACCGTGTAACCAGATCATCAGAGAACATTGCATTCCATAACTCCGGTTTCCCTTGTGCATCGTGTGCACATCTTGGGAACAAGTTGCAGCTCACGGCCGATTCATGAGAGAGTCAGTCTTCAAGTGCATCCATTTGTTACTTTATCCCCTATTCTCATTGCGATCGTCTGATTCGATGAGATTGAATGGATCCAAGATACATGTTCGCAGTGATACCGAGTTTCTGCAATGTGCACATGAAGTCCATGCAGCACTCTTTGTATTGTGCCTGCTGGAGGTCAAAGACTATTGCCAGTGTGTGATATTTCATCTGGAGTTCGTTGGAAATGGTTTGGAAAAAAAAGTGGATAATTTTGTTCTTCGCCTGGTGTGCCTCGCAAAAGCCAACATGGTCAGTGTTAAGCTCTTTTTTTTTTGTCCTAAAAAACCACCCAAACCCGATAGTACGGCTATCTGGCGATAGCTTGACAGAAGTTCGCCTGGTTTAATATATTTTGGAATACGGATTAATGTTGCCCTTTTCCACGGCTTCGGTGGAACGCCTGGGCGATCCATTTCTAGTGTATTTTGTCTTGACCTGTTGCGTTTGCTGACTTGCACTTATCTAGAGCATGTCGCAATTATGTTAACGTGAAAACTTGCAGTGAAAACGCCCCTGCATGGTCCCATTCGTCGGGCTAACGCTCTCTTTTTTTTTATTCGCAGACGTTTGATAATTGGGGTTTCCTCAGTCTCTCGGGATTTTTTGTGCTTTCCCTTTTGTGAAATGTTTGTTAAGCACCATTCACCAGCGTGCCGTTTACTGTTTATATGGAGTTTGGGGCTTGTCTGCTGACCCGTTCCAGAGAAATTATCTCTGATTATCCAAACTGTTCGCTCATCTACGACGTTTAGTTTAGCAGACGTTAGCGCCTGCTTGGCCATTTTTTTTTTTTTTTTTTTTTTTTTTTTTTTTTTTTTTTTTTATTTTTTTTTTGTTTTAAGACCGCTTGGATTGTAAAACATGGTCTAATGTTTAATACATTTCAACTCGTCTTTGTCAAAAAGACTTTCAAGTATTATACTTCATAAGAATCCCAGATTCGTGCAAACTTCTGCGAATTTTATTATTCACACCTACTGAGCACTTCGTTACAGACGTCTATATTATCCTTAAAAAGATTACGATTTGTGATAGTAAAAGAATTAAAGAGCACTGCTTAATAGAATTTAGATCACAAATTTAGGAAAGAGTTGGTAAACTAAAAAGTTTTTGGGACATAATGCACTTTTTTTTTTGCTGAAAGGTTTTGAAGAGAAAGCGAAGAATCACGTGAAGTCAAGGTGAATTTTCTTTAAAATATAAGCAAACATTTTTTTAAAGAAGTCACTGAGTAAAAAAATTAACATTTTCTTTAGTTTTCATTTGACATATGTCATTTGAGATTTATATCTTATTTAAATGTGTGTGTTCTATCTGGTAATGCTTTTTTTTTCTTCCTTTATTCTGCACAGATAGTGATACTTCGACTGAATCATTGGTGAATGCGTCCTTGACATTGATGAGCGTTGGTGCAAGTTTGGTTCTCATCCTGAAGTAGAGAAAATCAGTTTGCAAAGTTGAATGTCGCTTGGGCTTTTTTTTAACGATTATTCATTTCCATTTGGCAATGTCATCGTTAGGTATAATTCTGTTTCGTACCGGTATACATTTTAATAAAGATAATTCTGTAATGAAAACCTTTTGGACATACTTAAGTGATGTCAACGCAAGCTTTGTTTAAGTTAACTTTAAATCAAAATAATAATAATAATTGCAATTCTTTCATCGAAAACTGCCAATTATTCAATGTACCGAAACGATTTTTTTCCCCCTATATTTAATGATGTTTGCAGACTAGGGGAATGTAACAAATAACGTTTTCCTTAGTGTGTAACGTGTTGACGACCTCCTACAAAACTGACTTGTTTTTAAAAAAAACTGAATTGAGTTTTGGGTGGGGTGGTGAACCCATCGACTACGTCCCACAATGAGAAAGAAAGCAGTGCGCTGACAAAAAAAACCTCTCTCCCATCGATCAAATATAAATGCATTTAACATGAGTAAGTTTTAAATCACTGTAGCACAGTTGTGTTGTTTTTTTTGTTGTTGTTTTTGTGTGTGTGAATACATTTTGTTTAACGTGTAGCGTGCGCTTTAAATAGTGTTGCTATCAATTTCGGGCAGCATAAATCTAACACGTGTAAATAATAACAGAATAATTGTAAGCCGCAGGCTGCTTCTTTCTTTTAAAATAATAGTCTGTACTCTGCATGGGACCACAGCCAGTGGCTTGGTTTATTGTGATTATTGGGAAGGGCTCAAAGTGCTTTCCCCCCCCCAAAAAAAAAAAAACCTGCGGAACCCCAAAACGAAAATCCTGGACTGTTTGTTAAGGGTGGCAATATTTTATTAATACTTGTTGGTTTCTATAACAATTGCAAATTGAAATAAAATTTCTCTCTAAAATGTTCAATAACTTTACAATAAAAACTGTTTTAAATGTCTGAGCATTGATGACCTTAATAGTTGTTTTTAATTTTAAGCGCTTGTTTGTGTTTATGTTTCAAAAGTCACAACATTTTAAGAATTTGCTGCAGATAAAAAGGTCGTTTCTTTTTGTGCTCCAGTGGCGTAGCCGGTACGGGTAAATAATTTTTTTCACCTTACCCCATTTCCAAAGGAAAAAAAAACTCTTGTGTATGCCCAAAACAACACCCGTCAATATAAAAAAAAAGAAATGCCACTGGGCGGATCCGTCGTCACCCCCCCCCCCTAATGCTACGCCACTGTCTTATTGGACCAAGATTAGTTTCTTTCTGTGTCCTGTTTGATAAGCATTCATTTTGTGCTTGTCAATTTAATTTTTTTTTTAAATTCTTGTCCTGTTTGTCATTCGTAAAGATTGTGTGAGTGTATGTGGCAGTGTGTGTTGGAGTGTGGAGTGTGTGTGGGGGGATTGTGTGTTGTATTGTGTGTGTGTGTGTGTTTGGGAGTGTGTGTGTGTTTGTGGCAGTGTGTTGGAGCGGGGAGTGTGTGGGGGGGACTCTGTGTTGTACTGTGTGTGTGGGGGGTGCGTGTTTGGGAGTGTGTGTGTGAGTAATGTGTGTGGTAGTGTGAGTTTAAATGTGTGGGAAAGTGTAAAAAATGAGGTTGGTTTCTTTTGGTGTGGGGGGGGGTGTCGTTAAAGGAGCTGACCTTGTACATTTGATGACTCTCCCAAGCACATAGTAGACTCCCTTTTTGAACAATGGCTAGAATCAGACGCCATCAATCTTGTGAGGCAGAAGCTCATGTGGCACAACGGGTTCCCCCCCCCCCCCCCCATATATCAGAGTAGGAGACAGATACGCAATTGATCCTCAAAAATAGTAACAACAGTCATAAGTGATCACCAGGTACACACACTATCGTATTTGTAGTAGGGGGCTGATTCTACCACTCCTTGAATGGCGACAAAAGGCTATTATTAGTTATCTCTATCATTCGTTGTAGTTTCCCGAGTTTAAACAAAATAGACATGACAAGATGACCACAAAAGTAGAGTTGGCGACACAAAACATGTATGTGTACACAGCCAGGTCGAAGGTTGATCGATAAAATTTACGAAATACTTAACGTTCTAAAAATACGCCTTCAACAACAACAGAAACAAACATATAACTTCTTACTGTGGTAAATAACCCCGGGCGTAGGAAGAAAGGTGGGGTGTAAGGGGCGATATGCCACGGGGTGGGAGGGGGGGGGCTAAAAATAGTGAGGGTCAACATTTTTGGCTAACTTCGGTGGGGGGTTTTTTCAGGGTGTGGGGGGGGGGCTGGACAGCCCCGGGTGACACTAACCCCAGCTACGCCACTGTACATAACATGGTATAAGGAATAACACCTCTGTGACTATCATTTTTTTAACGGGAAAATAAATGAAAATGGATGCAAAGACCAAACACTCTTGCTGGTGGTCTTAAATTCAAGCAAGTTACCCTCTTGCTGGTGGTCTTAAATTTCCTTCTATTTCATTTGCATTTTATTATTTTTTTTAAACATTTTATGTGTATTATCTTTTGCATTGGTAACGCGAACCACATGTGGGACGCATGGTTTTGTATTGAACAAATTAACTACCGTCTCTGGCACACAGCGCTGTCGTTCCTGAACGAAGAGCCTCATTGACAACTAGGAACAAATACGTTTTGGGATTTCTGATTATTTGTAGTAGTTTCTAGTTTTGTTTTTTTCTGCCGAAGAAGGCATCTCGTCGAAACGACCATTTAATTGTCCTGTCTTTTCATCTCAAGCCTAAACATGTCTTGTTCCAATATGTATTGTATAATTGGTATGGTGTCGTGTTTAATGATGCATGGATATTGTACCAAGGGTATTGTACCACGGGTATTGTACCACGGGTATTGTACCAAGGGTATCGTACCAAGGGTATTATACCACTGGTATTTTACCATGTGTATGGGTATTATACCATTTGTATTGTAACATATGTATTGAGTGTTTTCCCTCCATAATCGATAGGTACACATGGTGTATCACCTTTGTCTATCTCCGTATCTTTAAAGTAGAACCTTCCTGCTTGACTATTTTGGTCGATGTCATGATCGGTTGTATTGCATCGATCCGTTCGACGACTTCTTATCTTCCCATGACGTGGATACAAGAAGCCCTTCCACTTTATCTGTGACATTATAAAACAGACATTGTATCAGTCGTAAAAAAACAAAAGCAAGGCAGAGTGTTCCTGGTATTTATCGTCGACTCGTCGTACTCAAAATATTTCTTCTGATGACAGTTGCAACATCCTTGATTTGCTTGATTTTAACTTTTATGTGTCAACATTTAATTTTATACTTTTTCTAAAAATATTTATTCTTTAATCAATTTTTTTTAATACTTTTTTTTTTAAACATAAAAAAGCTGAATCTTTTTTTTTTTCAAAAAAGTTGACTTAAATATGTTGTCAAACTATGTTAAAAACTTAGAAAATCTAACTCGTCTACTCAGATATTACTAAAAGGATAATTGTTCAACGGATTAGTTTGTTTTTTTCATAAATCATCAATAAAAATGAAAATGTCCCATGTAACGCTAGGTGAGAATTCAAATAATATTTATTTTTACAGAAATTGTTTATTTGCATGAATATATGTGTTGGTTTTTTTTTTCATTATTTTGTTTGTCATAAGTGGTGAGGTATCGGTAATTACGAATGCTATTGTGAATGTTATTTTAAAAGCCGTCTTCCTGAGATGTTGTAGGGTTGGGCGGAAAAAAACGCATTCCTGGCCACGGGAAATGCCTTGATCCAGAGATCCCGTTGGTCTAAGGAAAGTGTTTGGGATGTGAAAAGGTTTAATGAGCTGGCGCGTTTTGTTCGTGTTTGAATTCGAGTTGAGGCGCAATTTACGCATCTTTACCCAGAAGATGGATGCACCACGGTGCGGCCCCGCGCGGAGATGTACGGCGCCGCTACTGAACGCCCATTCAGATACGTCACCGCTCCGATAAATGGGATATGGCTCTGGATGTCAATTTTGAACAGACAGCTCTCAAAAGTTCTTATGTTGCCAACTTGACGCCCCTTGAGAATACTTACCGCCCCTGCTAGTTAAATTTAAGTCAGTAACATTATTACAAACGTTTTTTTTTTAATGTAAAGAAACAATTAAATATTTAAATATATTTTTTTGTATTACGCTACAACAATTATTCAAATTGTGCCAATTGTAAATTTCAGCTCTGTTGTTTTTGGCTATTGCCTTCGGTAAGTCAAATGTTTTGATGTGAAGCACATTGTTCTCCGTGTGTTAAGCAAACATGTAAATCATTATACAATAATGAAATGAAAAGAACGTTTCATTAAAAAATTAAACAGGGCAACATGGCATTTTGGGAAGTATTTTTATTGTATTGCCAGCTGTAAAACAAATTTAACAAGAATTTAAAGATTCTCAAGAGGCAAACATTAGGGACAAATTTTTTTTTAAATACTACTGATAATAATTAATGGCGGTTGGGGAGGGGATGTCTCCGTCATTGCTTTTGCTGATTCAGTGAACAAACAAAAAATTAATTATTAATGTTAATTTTGTATAAATATATTTTTTTTTTTTAAATTAACTTCTGTGGGTTTTTGTTTCCTCAACAGTATTCTCTGCAGACAACAAAGGTATAGAATTAGTTCTCTTTTTATTTATGATAATTTGCCAACATAGGTTGTATTTTTTAAGTTGCTTTACTCTTCAATTTAACAAACTCTCTAACTTTTTTGTATCCAAGGCCACACGTTAAACGACCAACTTCATGTTAGACGTAAGCTGAAATAATTGGTTCTGTGATTTGAGTTCAATCGCTATTCATTTTTTTTTTCTTTTTTACAACGGTTCCTTTCATCTTCTCTAAACACAGATGATACTTTCGACCTTTTCAAAATTTCCGTCACTACAACGATGACGTCATGTGCTAGTCTATCGAATGGTGTGACTGCTGATCAAGTGTGTGATAGTGAGCGATCACGCATGGTTACCGCATCCAGCCTGACCTCAGCATGCAAGTGAGTACTAGTTTCAAGCACGGCCGTGGAGGAGAAAATGGCCTTCGAGTTAATTTTTCGGGGCCCTGCCGGCTCGAAGACCCCCAAATGAGGAAATTGATTTGATTCAAATATTTTATTTTTTTTTGAAATTTCGTTTGGGGGTAGGTGGGGGATACTATTAGGTTTCCCGCGGGGCCCAAAACTCCCCTGCACGGCCCTGATTTTCTGCTTAAAGCAGCGTTTAGGCCCATATAAAATCATGATCTGTCAGTCTACAAAACTCCGGTTACATTTGGGTTATACGAGAATGCGTTTTAGTTTACTCCAACGCAGAAGAATCATCCATACCGTACCATACAAACGCGACGAACTCCGTTTAAAAAAATAACAATAAACGGTAAAATATTTGTTCACAGGTTTCTGGTTCCGTATACCACTTGCATGAACAGTCATTGCACAGCCAGAGAAGATCTGAAAGGAGCACTGGGGGATTTAAAAAACAATTGTGGTAAAGATTATTGACGCATATATTTCTACTCAAATGATTCTCGGAGTGTGATAAAGATTATTTAAGCATATATTTCTACTCGAATTCATCTCGGATTGTGATAAAGATTATTTAAGCAAATATTTCTACTCAAATGACTCTTGGAGTTTGATAAAGATTATTTATGCATATATTTCTACTCAAATTCTTCTCGGATTGTGCTAAAGATTATTTATGCATATATTTCTACTCCAATTCTTCTCGGATTGTGCTAAAGATTATTTACGCATATATTTCTACTCAAATGATTCTTGGAGTGTGGTATAGATTTTTTTTAAGCATATCTTTCTACTCAAACGATTCGCGGAGTGTGGTAAAGATTATGTAAGCATATCATTCTACTCAAATGATTCTAGGAGTGTGGTAAAGATTATGTAAGCATATCATTCTACTCAAATGATTCTAGGAGTGTGGTAAAGATTATGTAAGCATATCATTCTACTCAAATGATTCTAGGAGTGTGGTAAAGATTATGTAAGCATATCATTCTACTCAGATGATTCTAGGAGTGTGGTAAAGATTATGTAAGCATATCATTCTACTCAAACGATTCGCGGAGTGTGGTAAAGATTATGTAAGCATTTCATTCTACTCAAATGATTCTAGGAGTGTGGTAAAGATTATGTAAGCATATCATTCTACTCAAATGATTCTAGGAGTGTGGTAAAGATTATGTAAGCATATCATTCTACTCAAACGATTCGCGGAGTGTGGTAAAGATTATGTAAGCATATCATTCTACTCAAATGATTCTAGGAGTGTGGTAAAGATTTTTATAGTGCAAACCCTCACCTCCAGGGGTATCCAATTGGTGGTAGAGATTATTATATTAAATATTTACATCGAAGGTATTCTCAATTGTTGTTTAAGGATGTTATAGTCTTAAACCTAAACTCCAGGAATTGTAAGACTTTGAAATAGAATTTTTTTTAATGAACCTTGTCTTTATTATTATTATTATTATAAAACCGATGTACCTCAACTCAACATTAAATCGCTACATTTATGTCGTTCTTGTACAACCAATCTCGAAAACTTTCTTACAAATCAACATTGGTTATATACATTATACGATCATTGCGGTTTAGGACATGTTGTTATTTTAAGAAGAATGTCTATGATTATGTAACAATTTTGGGCGTCAGATTAATTACATGAAAACTATAACAATTTATAACGCGGTGAAAATTTTAACTAAAGTAACCAATTTGACATCATAAAAACGCATAACATAATAACGTAATGAATTTATAACTAAATATATAGAACATAATAACTTAAAAAACTAATAACTAAAAAATAGTAACGTAACAAAATTAAAACATAAAATTAAGTTATAACATAATTACGTAACAAATTTTAAATAGAAATTTATAACATAATAACTTAACAAGTTTATAGCGAAAAAAAAGTACAGCATTAAAATGATAATATATAACATAAGTACAAAAGAATCTTACGAGATGTAGGAACAAAAATCTCGAGAATTAAGTGTGTGCTTGGTTTTTCGTTCACCATGCTTTGTTAGCAAACCTTTTAAAACTACGTACTATCTAAAAGCAGTCGCATTAAAACTAAAGGTTACGAAAAATAATGTTTCTCTGCACAGCAATTACGTGTTGATACTTATTCCCTCGTGTCTTTTCCTTTACAACTTGTAGACGGAATGAGTCCAGTTGGAACATCCTCAAACCCGCCTACAACGACAGGTATGTAGCGTTTCTATAGTTTGTGTAATGTATACGTGATTGCTCTTCTTTAACGGAAAAGTGGGGGCCCGGGGTCCCTCCCCCCCAAACCCACCAAAAAAAAAAAAAAAAAATTTTTTTTAATTGGTGTTTTTCTTAATCTGACATTAAGTCAAGGCCCTGTGGAAACAAAAGAAAATGTTGACCTTACATCGGTTTCATCAGGAAAGTCTGATGAGTAGGTTTCACTATAGTCCCTTAATATCTGGTTGTGTTGTTACGATCACCGGAGAAGAGAAGAAAAGCAACGTTTTTGTAAGCTGATTGAGTTTTTGTGACGACATGGGATCTAAATATACCTTCAAAGAGCTGTTGGAAGAAAATCGTGCTGTAAAAACTGTAATGTAAAATCGGGATGAAAGATCCCACACACCACCACATAGATCACCCAAGATCATCGCCTCATTCAAATACAGTGAGGACAAAAATGTATAAAAATCGATTGCTCCGTAGACTGCCAGAAAGTACCAGCGTGCTCCCCGAGCGGATACCAAATCGAAATGATCACCAATTACGTTAAATGTATTATTATTATCTCTAAAGGAGTTAGTTTTTATTTCACAGAATTGATGATTTTTTTTATGCTAGAGAAATTATTTAGATGTGTTCTGTTTAAATTGTGTATTTTTTTATTTTTTTTTAAATGTCTGAGTTGAATATTCACATATTTATGTGCTGAAACTGAATATGTGCAAAGTAATCAAATCATATCTCCATTCAGAAAAGATAAATTTTTCTTATCTTATTTAATCACTCTTAATATCGTTTAATACTGCCTACTCATTGGAGAACAAATAGAGGTTAACCATTAAATTTTAAGTCAATCATAGGGCGACTTATTTAGAACTTAATTAAGCTATAAATAAGATGTCGTACACATTATTATTTTTAAGGAATTAGGTGCCGATGTTTCAATGTTCGATGCATTTGAGGTTAGACCATAACTGGACACTGACCTCACAGAAATAATTGCAATAGTAACAAGTAAAACGGAATGTTAGTTCTGAATAATTAAATGATAGTTTTTAAGCGGTAAATTTATATATTAACGTTATTGTTAAAAGGCATACCTTACTATCGACGAGATCGTACGCGAATTGTCAAGATGGGAGGGGGGGAGGGGGCATTGTTTCTGAACGCTAATTTCAATAATGTATATATATATATATATATATTTATATATATATATATATTATAAAATAATAATAATAATAATAATAAAGTTTATTTGAAAAACATGCTTCATCCCGGAAGCGCGGTACAAAGTCAACCATATTAAAAGGAGAAATAAAAACAATCTAAAATTTACCACATTTAAAAACAGACGCAGCATTATAAAGCTACATACGAGCATACCCAGTCAAAGTCTTTCATCCCGTTTCAACCATAAGCAACACAAGCCAATAGACATTAACTGAATATACATATTTATCACATCGTACAACCGAAGTAATCTCATTTTAAAAGCGTTGTGCAATGGATACAATTAGAAAGTCACGTTGCTACAGATGTAGATTTTATCAAGTGAAAACGTTATTTGTTAGTTGGTGGGATGTGCTGCAGTCCATTCCAGACCAAGGCTAAAGCGCCCCCAATGATCGCATCACCCATGAGTGTTTCTCAGTCACACGATTGGGTTTTGAAGAATCTGAATGAACTTTGAACTCATTCAATTTCCGTCAGTTACGGTTTCAGTTTTTAAAATCTACAAATTGGCGGCAAGCATACGTCAATTTAATCGTCTGTTAAGAGTTACAATGCGTTAAAGTTTCTTCTTATCGTCAAATTCCTTTTAATTATCTATAACATTGTGTATGTGTGTAAGAATATGCCAATTTTTTTTTCGTGTTTTCATGTATTTGGCGTTAAATTAAACTGATCCAACATAAATGAGTTGTTATTGTTGTTGTTGTTTGTTGTTGTTTTCAAAACAACGATTCCAGGGTTTATTGTTCTTGTATCATTTCACTTTCAGTTGAAATGAACTCTAACGAAACAACAGGGGGTGTAACTACCGCTCCTGGGGCAGGTATGTTATAGCAATAGCTCATCATTGTCACTGCATGTTCAGGTATGTTATAGCAATAGCTCATCATTGTCACTGCATGTTCAGGTATGTTATAGCAATAGCTCATCATTGTCACTGCATGTTCAGGTATGTTATAGCAATAGCTCATCATTGTCACTGCATGTTCAGGTATGTTATAGCAATAGCTCATCATTGTCACTGCATGTTCAGGTATGTTATAGCAATAGCTCATCATTGTCACTGCATGTTCAGGTATGTTATAGCAATAGCTCATCATTGTCACTGCATGTTCAGGTATGTTATAGCAATAGCTCATCATTGTCACTGCATGTTCAGGTATGTTATAGCAATAGCTCATCATTGTCACTGCATGTTCAGGTATGTTATAGCAATAGCTCATCATTGTCACTGCATGTTCAGGTATGTTTAGCCATAGCTCATCATTGTCACTGCATGTTCAGGTATGTTATAGCCATAGCTCATCATTGTCACTGCATGTTTGAGTTTAAACCACTTAGATTTGATATTATGAATTATATTTTTTTCCTGGATCTTCTTCCTTAGAATTTATATTTAGGCGGCCTCCCCCCTCCCAACCCTTACCCACCCTAAACAAACAACAACAAAAATTCTAAGATTATTATTATCAATCACCTGCATTGAAAATCTCCCGTAAATGACAAAGAAGGCTTTTGGTCGATACTTTGGTAGTTTTTGTATGTACCTTCCTCAAACATTCCACATATCGTCTTATTTTTTTGCATATTTCCCTACATACAACGTAGGCTTAGTCCCTTCAACAGTTTTTTTTTAAATGAAGTTTTATCCAAGAAGAATAGCATTTCCACTTCCATTTAGGTCAAGATGGTGTCAACCTTATTATTTAATTGAAATACACTGTGATTTTTCATTTTTTCCCTGATATTGATTTGTTAGGTGTGTTCACCTTATTCTTAAAATAATAATTATAGAGAAAAGAAAAGGAAGAGAGAATACGGATGTGATCAACTGTATCTTATTTACTAATGACTGTGTTTTGGATTGAAAATGCTATTGTATTGTTTCTTCGCAGGCGTTAGCTTGACACAATCACTGGCCATTAGATCCTTGACGTTGGTCAGTTTTTGTACAAGTTTGGCTCTCGTCCTCAAATAGAGAAAGTTACTTCGGAAAGTGGAACATTCGCTGCGATTGTTAAAAATTCTGTTGTTGTTTTTTTAATCTCTTTTTTTTTTTGGTACATATAACCATTGAATGGAATCATTCTGATGCGAATACAATTTAAAATGTACTTAACTTAATTGAATAGCATGCGTTCATCAATATTGTAAAATATAAAAATTGAAAAGATTTATTGATGTATTTGGAATGTTGTGTTTAGATGTAGGCAATTCAACATTAAACTTTTACATTCATGTGCATTGTATTGGCAACCTCGTACAACTTTAAAGATAATCAGTCACTGTAAAAAAAAAAATGTATAATAATTTTGAGTAGCAATTTCAATGATGAGATCATATATTTTAAACCAATCTTTTAAAAAAGAATACATCTAAAATATCGTGGATTTAATCCCGTGTCTTTCATTCCTTTCGTAAGAGTACAGTTTATTTACAATTTTACTTGTGCTGTAGAATAATGGGGCGACATAGCTGTAGAATAATGGGGCGACATAGCTGTAGAATAATGGGGCGACATAGCTGTAGAAGAGTGGGAAACATGCCAGGTAGAAGGGTGGGTGAAAAAAAAAAGTGGGGCATCAATTTCAATAAATTAATTTGAAAAATTAAAAAGAACGAATTATAATTGTTTCTTTTTTTTCTTTTTCATTTATTAAAATTTGTGGAGCTTAGAGCAGTAAGACATTATAACAGCTCCAGCACCACTCCAGCTCCGGAAAAGAATCCCCTGCTATAAAGCTCCGAGCTCTGCCAAATCCCTGGTTGGTCGCCCCTTTCAAAAAAAAAAAAAAAACAGAAGTAGATTACCCTATTTACCATTCGTTACAGACCATGTCCTATTTAACAGTGGAAACATTTAACCACTGATCCAATAGAAAATGACAATGACTCATTTACAGTATAATTCTGTACGAAAAGACATTATCTTGTGAAATAATATCTCGTATCACGTAATACATTGGCCAACCACACATGGAAAACAATAGACAGAAGATACATGGAAAATAATAGACCGAAGATACATGGAAAACAATAGACCTAAGATACATGGAAAACAATAGACTTAAGATACATGGAAAAATATAGACCTATGATACATGGAAAACAATAGACCTAAGATACATGGAAAACAATAGACCTAAGATACATGGAAAACAATAGACCTAAGATACGTGGAAAACAATAGACCTAAGATACATGGAAAAAAATAGACCTAAGATACATGGAAAACAATAGACCGAAGCTACATGGAAAACAATAGACCGACGCTACATGGAAAACAATAGACCTAAGATACATGGAAAACAATAGACCTAAGATACATGGAAAACAATAGACCTAAGATACATGGAAAACAATAGACCTAAGATAAATGGAAAACAATAGACCTCAGATACATGGAAAACAATAGACCTAAGATACATGGAAAACAATAGACCTTAGATACATGGAAAACAATAGACCTAAGATACATGGAAAACAATAGACCTAGATACATGGAAAACAATAGACCTAAGATACATGGAAAACAATAGACCTAAGATCCATGGAAAACAATAGACCTAAGATACATGGAAAACAATAGACCTTAGATACATGGAAAACAATAGACCAAAGCTACATGGAAAACAATAGACCTAAGATACATGGAAAACAATAGACCGAAGATACATGGAAAACAATAGACCTAAGATACATGGAAAACAATAGACCTAAGATACATGGAAAACAATAGACCTAAGATACATGGAAAACAATAGACCGAAGCTAAATGAAAAACAATAGACCTAAGATACATGGAAAACAATAGACCTAAGATACATGGAAAACAATAGACCTAAGATACATGGAAAACAATAGACCTAAGAAACATGGAAAACAATAGACCGAAGCTACATGGAAAACAATAGACCTCAGATACATGGAAAACAATAGACCTAAGATACATGGAAAACAATAGACCTAAGATACATGGAAAACAATAGACCTTAGATACATGGAAAACAATAGACCTAAGATACATGGAAAACAATAGACCTAAGATACATGGAAAACAATAGACCTAAGATACATGGAAAACAATAGACCGAAGATACATGGAAACAATAGACCGAAGATACATGGAAAACAATAGACCTAAGATACATGGAAAACAATAGACCGAAGATACATGGAAAACAATAGACCTAAGATACATGGAAAACAATAGACCTAAGATACATGGAAAACAATAGACCGAAGATACATGGAAAACAATAGACCGAAGATACATGGAAAACAATAGTCTGCGTTGTGAAAAATGGGCCCAAATTGAGCTCTCCAGCAATCCACGAATAACCATCAGTTATCCAGCAATCCACGAATAAGCATCAGCTATCCAGCAATCCACGAATAATCATCAGTTATCCTACAATCCACGAATAACTATCAGTTATCCAGCAATCCACGAATAAGCATCATTTATGCAGTAATCTACGAATAAGCATCAGCTATCCAACAATCCACGAATAAGCATGAGCTATCCAGCAATCCAAGAACAAGCATCAGTTATCCAGCAATCCACGAATAAGCATCAGTTATCCAACAATCCACGAATAAGCATCAGTTATCTAACAATCAACAATGAATTAATAGAACAACACCCAAAGCTCATCTCTAGTTCACTCTGATTTCGGTATCTGTTCAAGGTGGAACATGTTTAAACAAAAGGGGAGTTAATGCACCGTATTAACAACATGTAGGGAATGCTTTCTGTCTCCCTTTCAATTTTCTGGAAGCTTTTTTTTTAAAATTGTATTAATGATTTTTGTTGTTGTTTTGTAGTTCTTGTTTGTTTTTTGTTTTTCAAATGACGCTAGAAATTCTGAAACAAACTATAGCAAATATTCTTTTTTTAATTAAGGACCCCCCCCCGTCCCCACCAGAAGTACTACAATACTGAAGTAGTCCCTCTTCAAAGTCTCTTGACCTTGTGGCTCTTTCATGTGTTCTTACCGAGCATTCCGGCCCCGTCTGCAAAAACCAAGCGGTATATCCCGTTCCCACCGACCAGATTTCGCAACCCGGCGGGATACGAGCAGAGACTAACATCTTGATCTTAGCCAAAACGCCGAGAAGCAATCGGATTTTTTCCTGGCTTTTTCAACCAACCTATGGCAAAGGTTTGTTATGTATTTTTTGTTCTTCCTCTCCTCATATTTGAGGGGCCCACGATCAATGTGTTGATCGTTCTGGCTCCTGGTTTAAATTCAGAGTTTGCCTTATTTTAGATGGGTTGCCGTCCGAGGCTAACGAGTCCCATCCACCCGGATGCTCATCGTAACTATAGAAATAACCCAATAGGTCAGTGGGTTATTGTTACCACTGTTCAATCGGACATTATAACGAATGGTAAAAAGAGTATTCTACTTCGTTTTTTTTTGTTTTGTTTTTGTTTGGGGGGGGGGGTGAGTCGTCAACCAGGGATTCGCAGCAGAGCTCGGAGCTCTAGAGCAGGAGCTTCGTTTCCGGAGCCGGAGCGGTGCTGGGGCTGTTAACAGTAACCCAAGATAAACTTTGATACAAAAATTAAAGGAAAGTTGAAGAGGGGGGGGGGGCTTTGGGACTTGATTTTGAATCCATCGGGAATCGAACCCTGTTCCAACGTGTGTCACTGGAAGATCCTAACTGTACCCGATTATCTCACACGTAAAAACAATCGACAGTACAGTGTATGCTCGGCACGCAAATATATGAGGGGATGATAAAAAAGTTTGTTTTTGTTTTTTTTTTTCAATATGAATTATCTCCCTTGCATGCATAGCTATTTTATTCTAAATCACGTGGTGCGAGAAAATGGGGGGGTGGGGAATTATCAACACAAAGACTCTTCCTTTTTAAGTAATGATATAAAGTGCATATATTCTTACAAACATGTGTATAAATGTTTACTTTGAATAAATAAAAAGGCAACCATAACTTTCACAATTTATAAAGTCATTATTACTTTTTCTAGGAGCTCGACAATAATGTGTAGGTTGTGCGGAGTAAATTGTGTGGAGTATGAAGTAGGTTGTGTGGAGTATGAAGTAGATTGTGCGAGTAGGAAGTAGGTTGAGCCGAGTATGAAGTAGGTTGTGTGGAATATGAAGTAAGTTGTATGGAGTATGAAGTAGGTTGTGCGGAGTATGAAGAAGGTTGTGTGGAGTATGAAATAGGTTGTGCGGAGTATTAAGTAGGTTGTATGGAGTATGAAGTAGGTTGTGTGGAGTATGAAGTAGCTTGTGTGGAGTATGAAATAGGTTGTGCGGGGTATGAAGAAGGTTGTGCCGAGTATGAAGTAAGTTGAGCCGAGTATGAAGTAGGTTGAGTGGAATATGAAGTAAGTTGTGTGGAGTATGAAGTATATTGTGTGGAGTATGAAGTAGGTTGTGTGGAATATGAAGTAAGTTGTATGGAGTATGAAGTAGGTTGTGTGGAGTATGAAGAAGGTTGTGCGGAGTATGAAGAAGGTTGTGTGGAGTATGAAATAGGTTGTGCGGAGTATGAAGTAGGTTGTATGGAGTATGAAGTAAGTTGTGTGGAGTATGAAGTAGGTTGTGTGGAGTATGAAGTAGGTTGTGCGGGGTATGAAGAAGGTTGTGCCGAGTATGAAGTAGGTTGAGCCGAGTATGAAGTAGGTTGAGTGGAATATGAAGTAAGTTGTGTGGAGTATGAAGTATGTTGTGTGGAGTATGAAGTAGGTTGTGTGGAATATGAAGTAAGTTGTATGGAGTATGAAGTAGGTTGTGTGGAGTATGAAGTAGGTTTATGGAGTATGAAGTATGTTGTGTGGAGTATGAAGTAGGTTGTGTGGAGTATGAAGTAGGTTTGTGGAGTATGAAGTATGTTGTGTGGAGTAAGTATGTTGTGTGGAGTAGGAAGTAGGTTGTGTAGTATGAAGTAGGTGAGGAAATCGTCATGTAGGAATATGTTTTTATTATTATCTTTTATAATGAGGGTTAAACTCATTCAAATTTTGAACATTTATTTTTTCGTTTTGGCTTGTTTACTAGTTATACAGATAGAATGGATTGAATGTATCAGTTTAACACAAGATATAATTGGTTTTATTTCTAAGTTCCAGTATTGGTTAGGCCAAAGCTTTTACCCAGTAATAAAATGAATAATTGCACTTTTATTCAAAATTATGACATAACCTCATGCAAAGAATTACCATTGAAAAGTAAGATAGTGAGAGAGTCAATTTTCCGAACTGACACTGGGTTTGGAGAGTTTCGGAAAACAATTTTTTTTTCCACGGATGACCGAACACTACCGCGGAAATATTCCGTTAACAGAATTAGTGCAAAGAATAGCTATTTACGCATGGTGCTTTAATGTGCACTGTATTATTAACCACACCACATGGTGTGTGCAGGGGGGGTCAAGCTGATTGATGTAAATCATATTGGTCAGGACTGGAATTTCTTTTCTTCGAAAATAAAAAAAAAATGAGTCAGCTTTTATACCAATCGTGTCACTGCGTATAGAGCAACTATCTA